TCCGTAGAGAGACATTGAGAAAACAAAACTCATTTTTTTAATAATCTTTCGCTAGAAAAAAAAAATGTAAAATTTTTAATAAATCGAAAGGTGTACACTCCCCCCATATTTGAGATTCTGAATGGAAGTTGAAAATTTGTGTAATTTAAATTATAGAAAAAACGTTCTATGAATTTCAGTTTAGACATAGAGCGGCTGACATATCCAAATCAAAAAATAACGAATCAATTCAATAATTCTAATAGACAAAGTCTGAAAAAAAGATAATATTTTAGTTTTCTTATTATTTGTTTCAATATAATAAATAGGCGCTATAAAGTTTGAAAGAAAAATCTTTTGTCATTCTCTATCTATTTTTCTTTCATATATATATATATAGTTGTACACATAACAATAAAAAGGAGACTTATATTTTTAGTTTTCAGTTTCAATTCATCTTGACTACAACTTTGTGAGTATTGTATCACAAAATACTATGTACGTACAATGATAAATGAGACAAAATTAGTTTTAACTCACTATGCCAAATGAAAAATATTAGAATGTAAAAAAACATGAGAAAAATATTTAGTAAAATGAGTTAATAAGTATCGAGATATTTGACATTTATCTTTTGAAATTTTATCTCTCATTGACTATAAGAAGGGTAATCCTATATTGAATCACAAGAATTATTAATACACAAAGAAACAACTATATTCTATTGTTTTTCAAATTGTAAAGAAATATTTTAAGAATGATTTCTGAGATAAATTGAGAGGACATCATATTTTTGAATAGAAAATGATTGTCAATCAAACATATAAACATCTGTCCCTCAACTGTTCAAATACTACATTGATACGTAACAGCACACGACATATCATTGCAATTCATAAAAAATATAAATCACAACATGAAACATTTTTAACCAAGACGATCTAACATTTTTATTTTTATATAATTTATTTTAAATACAAAAGAATTCATATGCACTACTATTCGATTAAAAACAATATGACGTATAGTTTAACTACGAATATCATCGTTCTATAATATTTTTTGGCATACATTGTATTTTGTTATGCAGATGTTGTTTTTTTTTGTGTATTGAACGATCATTTTCAATATTAGTTATTTTTTTTTTTCATCTTTATCATTGGCATTATCTCACTTTCATCCGATAAAGATGCGTTTATTATGTTAAATGAAACTTACATCTTTTCTTTGCTGTTTATTATCTAATATGTCTCCGTTAACATTATGACACTTATATGTGTTTGATCTATTCTCATTTTCGATCTTCCTGTTTATTATTCTCAATTTCTTAATACATGAATAGATAGATATAGAATGTCGATGATTTTTTTGTTGTTGTTATTGCTGTTATTATTTTAATCTGATATATATGGAAGTAATACCATATCTAACAGAATAAATATTATTGTTTGAAAAAATCTAATATTTATGCTGTCAATTGTACTTTTTTCATGAGATAGTCATATATTTATAACAATTATAGATACTTGAAGTATATTTCAATAAAAAACTATATAATAATCAAGTTAAATAATAGAATACTCATTTTAATATTAGTTATATTTACAATAGTATTTAATTTGTCTTATATCATCTAATTTCAATAATTTGAATACTCAAACTACTTGTTAAAGTTTCAATTACATTTTAATCACTAAAAAATCGGATAACAAAATATTTTGTGTACATGTTAATATTGTGATTTTATAATTTAAATCAAAATAATCGTTAATTGTATCTATTTTAAATCTAACATACATACAAGTACATAGAATTCAGAATTATTCAAATTCTTCCAAAGTATTACATGTTCTATGTTCATAAATCAATTTGATGTGGTACTTAATCATCAACAATGAAGTACAACATAAATAGAGGTATATGTGATGAAAATATACATGTATAGAGAGAGATATGAGATTTGCTTATGATTCTTTTCTTCTTTTTCTTCATCGACAATGATAGTAGGAAATGAAGATGAACGAAGAAAATAAATTATCATGAACTAAAAACAATTGGTAACATCAATTCTGATAGAATAAAAACGTGATGAATTAAGATGATGCTTACGAGTGACGAAATAGGCTCCGATTTTTTATTCTGTTTTTTTTTTAATACATCTCTGAGAAGAGTAGCAGACATTATCGCATTTGTTTTCTATAATCAATAATCTAATTTTAGACTAGTATATAGATTCTAGACACAAAAGTAACGATTTGTTTTCGTTTTTTTGATCCGATAAAAATTCTTAATCGAATATGCTTCATTTGTAATTTTAAATATTTAATTCATGATAAAATTTGCACAAAAATGTTCAATGAAAATGTATTTAATGAGAAGTATGTTGCTCTATAGACATACACAGATGCTAGAAGGATTTCCAGTTTCCGAGCCAAATGACAATCTCAACAAAAAAAGCAGCAGTTATGAAAAATAGATAAAAAAAGAATAAAAATGTTACATTTTCTTGGTTTATTGTCATTTTAAGTGATTGTGAGTTGCATACATCTTGCCGATATGTAACATACTAAATGTTTTACTCTAATTTGTTTGTACAAAAATTGGTACATGCTGGCTATAAAATGTAATTTATTCGAGATATATATTTTAAAATCTATTAGCGGACATATATCGAAAGTAGGGAAGGATCCAAAGCATTTAAGAACAAACGGAAGCAGATGGATGAGTACACATTTTCTCAAGTACGAGTGCCAAAATATTTCAGGCCAAATATGAGTATGAGTATAGAAAAATTTTATTCGAGTATAACTCGACATTCCAAAAAAGAGAAAAAGAAATTTTACCTTTTTTCAATACGAAGACCTTTTGAACGATACTTCAAAGTTTTTCATATCTCGTTTTATTTTTTTTTTGATCACTCTTTTAATAAAGATCAAATATTTTTTGAAAGCAGTAGTAAGAAAGGACGGCTAACGGTTTCTGTAAGAAAATAGTCCAATATAATTTTGAGAGGAAATGATGAGAAAAATACTTCGTTTTTCACTTTTCAACACTTCTCACGTTCAAAAAGTGCTCTTAGTCCTCTTGAAAAAAAAAATTTTCTTATCATTTTTCGTTACCATTTCAACAAAAAGTCATTCAGTTTGTTCCTCAAAGTTTTCATACGATTTCAGAATCATTTGATCAAAACTCATATACAAAAAGACAGAATTTTCTGTCCTACAAAATGAGTTATAAATAAGCTTTTCGAAAATATGCCCATATAGGAAATTATCAAAATACTAGAGAAATATCATCATATGTCAAAAGTTTATTTATAGCTTATTTTGTAGGGCGGAAAATTCTTTGTTTTTTTGTATACGAGTTTTGATCACGAAAAATGATAAGAGGACTAAGAGTACTTTGGAAAGTGAGAAGTGTTGAAAAATGAAAAACGAAGTGTTTCCCATTATTTCCACTCAAAATTATATTGGGCCATCTTTCCCGTCCTTTCGTTAATATTTTGAATTCAGTACTCCAGCACGTTTTTTTCCAAGTAATATTAGAAAAAATCGTAGGTGCAAGTATATGCGCCCGATTTGTTGTATTCAAGTTCGAGTATGAGCATTTATTCGTACTCGTCTATTCTGAATGAGTAAAACTTTCGAGGTCAACAAAAGTAACGTCTACTTTTCCTCCTTTCTCAAATGAATCACATCGATCACATGGAGTAATAACATCACACTTTTAAACAGCAATACGCTAATGTAAACAAACTCTGGATGTCGCATTTTGGTAATGATGGCGATGGTTGAAACGTGTTTTTAAAGAAGTGGAGCTGGTTTCCTGGCCCCAATAGAAAACAGAAAAAAACTACTACTAGATATTATTTTAATATTACTATCCATGTCAAATTAAATAGTACATCACTGTTTTTGAATAAAACATTTGTGAGGAAGAAGATGGAAACACCCATTCTGTGAAATAACAGCCAGGAGCTGAGTACATCACTGTATGGGAAACGAGCTTACAGAATCTATTGTGAAGCCATCAAGATGTAAAAATGCTCAAAACTCGATAGGAAATAGTTATGTTTTTCAAAACTATTTTTTAGAAGTCTAGGAACGATGTGTACGCAAATTTCATTATCTATACGATTGAGTTGTGTGCAAAAAGTTTTTGATTGAACTCAGGAACTCGGTTTACTAAAGTTCTGATTTTCTAGGAATTTCGTATCAACAACGTTCCGGATTGAAAACTCTTCAGGCTGTTGAAGGCACTCTTGGATTTGTTCTGCCTATTACGATCGAGTAAAAAACATTAGAAACAAATCGTTTCTATAACTTTGCATACGACTGTACAGTTTGATTACGTTATTTTTAACAATTTTCTTCAATTAACTGTATTTCTTCTAAATCTTACTAAATGTTTCTTTTAATATGCACGGATAGAGTTTTTATTTCTTTATCGAGCTGTATATTTTTGGTCTGCTTTATTTCTCATCTCAGCTGTAAATTTGACCAAATTCGAACAATTTTCAAAAAATTCTTTTGCACTGGTATATTTAGCTTTGCAAGGCATATTTAACTGGAACCAAATTGTTCTGAAAATGGTTTCAGATTGAAAGAATGCACCATAGCCGTGTTTATACTAAGTATGGTATGAAACTTCACTCTAGCTGTAGAGAAAATTTAACTTTATTGTTTATATCCCAACTAACCCCGCGTTTTATTAATTAAAATCTACTTACTACTGGTACTATTATATACCTACACAGTAGTAGTAAAACGGACTGAATTAGACACTCTAGAGTGAGAGAGAGAGCGACAACTTGAACAAAGAGAGAAAACATAATCCAAACAGATATATGTTCGGATCGTATTGTGGATTCCGTTTTCGCTTTGTTCAGATTTTCACTCTCTGTTCAAGTTGTCGCTCTCTCTCTCATCTAGAATTTCTAACTTCAGTTCGTTTTACTACTACTGTGTGTAGGTATATAGTAGTACTAATTTTTATTTTTCTTGTCATATTGTTTCCTGACGATGGTGAGAGCGTTCACCGAAGGTTTAAAACAAATAGTTCAAGTGGATCCTCCGTTCTTTGTTCAGACCAACGGTATTTGTTTCCGATTTCAATTTGAAAAGAATAAATCTACGTTTCGGTCTCTTGAAAATATTTTTGCTGCTGCAATCTCAACGAGAATTCCTATTTCGAATTTTGTCATATTTTTAATAAAGTTCCTTCTACTCTGGTACTACTTGACGGTGCGTAAAACAGGAAGGACGATTAAAAAAGTAGATAAAAATTCTACTTTTTGGTTTAATTCCTTTCTCTCTCTATACACTTTAAGATTTATCCGACTGCTTGTTTTTTATTGTCATGCTAAATATCTTTTTCATTCTTCAATAGATAATTGCTAAACGTCCAGATGGTAAACCAGTTCAAATAGAAAATGTTTGGGTTGATTTAACAATGTTATTTGAAAATGAACAACAAACGTCTATTGAAGTTAAAGATTTATATACGCGTGGAAATCGCACAAAACTGTGTTGGGGTTTTACTCACAGTAAATATTATAAAAACATATTTTTGTTTCGATTTTGGATTAATTTTATTTGCCTTTTCTTCTTGTAGTTAACACCACTAGGTGAAGGTGAACAACACTATGGTTATCATACACAAGACATAGTACTGAGACCAGTTCCAAAACGTCTTGAAAATTAGTGGAGAATTAACAAGTGAAATGATGACTACCAATGAAATAGGATCAAAACAACAACCAGAGTCAACATCGGTATTTCGACCATGACTGCATCTATCAATAAACCAAGTTGATTTTATATTCAATTATTACCAACAAAATCGATTCAACAACAGCCAGAATCATTGAATATGGATTATGTCTTATTAACAAATGGTCGTATTACAATATCGAGTATATTTCATATTCAACCAACAAAAGAATCTCAAACAACAATGCAACCACGGCAATCAAGCCTGAAGAAAATCCATCTATAATGACACTTTGGAATTAGTAATGACACGTCAGATGGTATCATATTCAACACTATTGGTCTATTCAATCCAAATTTTGATATTAATATTACTGAATCATATAGTTTTGCAGTTAATGGTTTATTCAAGAATAATTTAATAATGAATGTAACAACACAACAAATAATGGATTATGAAGGTAATGATAAAAAAACATATAATTGATGAAGATGTTTTACGCATACATATTGGTAGTGATAATATTAAAGTATCATCAAAAGCTAAAGATTATAACCGTATTTATCTGGTACTTGATAGTTTATCGGTAATCATTTTTCGTTTGTTCTTGTAAGGTTCTTCTAATTCCGTTTTTTGTTGTTGTTTAGGATTCAACAGTTGGTGTTAATGTTTTTGAATTTTATGCCATCAATCAAGGTTTACAAGCCGATGTCACTATTGAACGATTATTAAAATATTACACGGCTTATGAATATACTCCAATTAAAGGTATGCCAACATTGACATCAAATGAAGAAAGAAAAGTTAGTGTTCAATCAAGAGGTTTTAATGATGATCAAGGTCAACAACGAACGAAACAGGTTATTGAACAAGTGATGACGATGATGAGCAAAAACAAGGTAGTGAATATCGTCTAGTATATGGTACATTGGAATGGTTCAAAAAAGTTAATCATCGTATGCGTTTGATATCAAAAGATGCATTCGTATTCTTGATAAGTTTCTTATTTTGGCTTTTAAATTAGAACTTTTCAATCCAAGCAAAAAAATGCCTTTGAGAATATCTAGATAAAAAAATACGTTATCGGGCAATATCGGCTTGTGATAGCTAGCTATCCGTACCACTTTTATTGAGTTAGCTAGCTATATCGGGAAAGATAGCTAGCGACTAGATATCGTACCCGATATATCGGGTTGACG